CTTTTGAATTTGTTTCCATCAAATGTAGGCCAGTATTTCAAATCAGAGCATATTACCAATTTTGTACAGTCCACTTTCATGTTTTCAGATTTACTTTAAATCACTTCAGTGTGATCAAATGTCTTGATTTATTTTCTGACTGCTGATACATTCCTGAATAGGTGTTTTTGTTATGTCATCAAATGTATTACCTGGTCTTTTTCCATTTGGTCTTTTAAACCTCTGCATTCAGGAATAACTCATCATGAAAGGTTCAAATTGTTCTTTTGTTACCTGCACTTATCAGCACGTTTGCCCGGTTTTTCTTTTCCAGAGTTCACCAGTCTTATTAAGGTGGGTGTGTGGCAGGGAAGCATGTTTCCTGTGTAGTTCTGACCACCTTATGTTGTGTTTTGTCTATTCTGCTTCCCAGTGTGTTAATTATATTTAATGGAGGTGCTCTTGCTGCAGAGCTGTGAACTTTCTGACTTTCTGGATCAAAGAAATTGGATGTGTGTTTAGTTCAGAGTAAGAGGATGCATTCTTGATGCTTTCCATGCTATTTTTTTACAGAAGTGCCATGGAAAAATCTTTTTTCCAAATACACTTCTTTCGATGTTCAGTAATGAATTATATATATGAGAGGAGCTTATCTGTAGCTTGGAAGAACAAGCCATATTGATAATTGGGTTTTCTGTTCTTTTAGACCTCCTGTCAGCCCGTAATGTTCTTTTGCACAAGTGGCACTAAGACGAGATCATGTAGCATGAAGCTTTGTTCTTTTTGCTGACACAGTTCAGGTTTTAAATGCAAAATATTCTTCTCATGGCCTTTGAGGTAAAAATAATGTAATATTTTTATTCATTGTGCAGCTGGGTCTAAAATCATTACGTACATCATTCCATCTAGTATATAATGGCCAAAAAAATGGACTCATTCTTGAAGTGCATGTCCTGTTTATGTAATCTCTCTCATATCTTTTTAAACCAGTATAAAATCCTGGCTTCTTTAAAGCAAACAAACAAGCAAAAACCCTGAATAAAATACAAACCAACAAAAAAACCCCAAACCCCTCTGCATACTTGAAAAGTCATATCTTCTTAAATGTCATCAATTATTAATACCTAATTGGTAACACTTTTTTACTTTTTAATTCTCACTGTAATAGTTGATTGCACAGCAACTGCTACTGGCTCAAATTATTTGGGTAATCATTCTGCAGTTGCAGATTGATCTTTGTTAGTGGTTTAAATGCAGACTGGTAAATAATAATGTATTCAGTCAGTATGTCTTTATTCTAAATGTAAGTGAAAGTTTACCTCGCTGACAAGAGCAGTTGATTAAACCCTTTCTTATGTCTTTTACAGTAGTCAAAAATTCTTGGGCAGTTAGCTGACTTTTAAATGTCATTGTTTTGATAATATATTGCTGGAATAAGTTTTATTTCAGACTTTCATGTTTTCAAAGACAAAATATATAGACAAGTATGTAGAGAATGGTGAATTCACCTCCGTGCACAGATTTAAAAGACGTGTAGATGTGATACTCAAGAACATGGTTTATTGGTGGAGCCCCTTTAAGCCTTAACATTGAATGACTACATTCCTAACTATAACTTTTCTGTTCCATGCTTTATTGTGAATTCCAACTTGCATGTTTGCTGAGTATTTAAGAAATCTTAATCAGACCATATGTAAGAAAATTTAGTATATTTAGCTATTATAGTTCCTACATGTTATAAGAACCTTTGAACCATCGTAGAAAAAAAACTTTAGTCTTTTTAAAATAAACATGAGAAATCTCTTATTCCCTGTATTTTGTTTGCTTTGGGAGGGATGTGAGCACTCTGGAAATGAAATTCAATGCTCTTAGTTCAGGCCACTTCAACTTTGGATAAGTATGCACAGGACTTAATGTAGTTGAACCAGTTTATTTGAGAGACACCCCCACACAGTGTTTGATATATTTACTCCCCCCCCAAAGGTGCAGCAAACCAGGGAGCAAATGTAAGCCCAAGGTGTGCTTTACAGATGTGAAGATCCTGGAGTGCAGTCTGGGGGTCAGGCTGGGACGGTCCCACGAGCTGTTGAGCCTCCCCAGATGTGTGGGGAGTGTGTGTGGTGCTGCCCGGCCGGCGCGGTGCCGGATGGGGCAGCGCTCCCCACCCCGGTGCTGAGGTGCTCACTGCTTTGGCACAGTGTTCATGTAAGGACAGTGTAGAGTTAGTGCACTGGGAGTTCATTAGCTGACTGCCTTGCCTGTCTGTACAAGTCCTTAAAAATGTTTTTAATATCCAGGCAGGTAATTGGAAAGGGAGAGATGATTTGTCCTAAAACTGAACTAGCACAGTGACCGTGGCCAAAATAGATGTGGACTACTTCTGTATTCATAATAGGAGTTGTGGTTCTGAAGCTGACTTAACACTGGAAGAAATTCCCAAACAGGGCTTGCTTGAAGATCAATGCAGGGCAAAAACACTGGGAGAGAAGTATGTGTGACACTGGAGGGGAAGGTTGACTTCTTTTCCTTGGTAGCTACCCACTAGATGGGTTTAACTGTGACTGCATCCAGCTTTTGACACCAGCACAGGTTCGGTTTTTGACTTTGCAGAAGCTGACTTGTTTGACAAACAGCTGACTTTCTCTAAGGCTCAATAGACTCCTATAGGAAGAGTTAATTTCTTAGGTAGGTTAGGTGTTATGCTAACATTTTGACTCAACATAGTAGGCACAGTGAGATCTCTACAGTGTTTTCAGTAAGGCATTTGAGTTAGTCTTCCCACTCTCAGTGGTTTTGTAATTTCTTTAGATATGCTAGGCTAAATCCTGACTCAGGAGAATTGCTGTCTTCAATAAATTTATTTCACTTATTTGTAGCATTCTTCTCTTATTCCAAGCTACTGTGTTTTTACTGGCATGATGCATGTGGGTTTTGATAGCCTTAGGCATTCCCTTGTTTCTGCTACAGTTAGCTTAGTCCTTGCAGTCTTGCTCTGGATTTTAGTGCTATAGGGCAAAGAACATTTGTTGTTACTTAAAATATACAGTAGTATGTGGTGCTCAGTGTAGCTTTATCAGATACATGTTTTGTTTTCCTGTTGGAACTGTGCTATGGTTTCGTGCTTACACTCCAGTGAACTTACTGCTGTGAAGCATGATTTGTGCTTTGACAAGGGTTTTTGTTGTTGTTGCTGTATTTGGGTTTTTTCTTAGTTTGCTTTTAAGCATAATCTTAATTCCCCCTTGCAAGAGATCTCCAAGGAAATAGTCAACTACATACAGTGTCAGTGTAGTCTCTCAAGCTGATGCAGTGCTGGAGGAGTGAAGCTATTTGCCTCCAGATTTTAACAGGATCTTCCAAGCTGAAGTAATCATTTGGGAGAGAGGGGAGGTTTTGGCCATGAGTTACAGCTGATGTTTGCCTCTGATTTAAGGAACGTTATTTTACATTTTTCTATGTGTAAGACAATTTAAATCTCTACACCCCATTTGTGTTGTTATGTACAGAATTATTTTTTAATTATCTTCTACTTAAATTACTTCTAGAAAACCTGCAGGTTTGATCTGTAAGCAAATTGATAAGTGGATGAAAAATTTTGAACTGTTGCAACCTGAATCTCCAACCAGGTCTGTGCACATCTGCTTGTGCTCAGTCCTTTTTTGGGAGTGAAAACTGTTGAGAAATAGGAATTACCTTGTCTGATTTGCTGGTATATAACAGTAATTCTTGCTTTAGGGCTAATAAAGCAGAAGTTCCTGTCCAGGAAAGAAACTATGTCCAACTTAATGCAGCTCTGGAAAGGCCTGTGTGGTGAACAGAATTTGTATGTGGTTTTGACAGTAGGGATAAAAGGGTAGGTACCAGTGGCACTGCTTGAGCAGGGAGGTTGGACCAGAAGCCCCCACTGTGGTACCTTCCAACCTGACACTTTCTGCAATTCTGTGAATTAGCAAGTGTAATAATTCAGAGCTAGTTGGGAACCCATGACATTTCTAGAGAGCAGTGTGTATCAGATACTGTTTCTAGTGTGTTGTAAAACTTGGGAAGCTTCCCGAACTCCTGAATCAACTCTTACTGACCTGATATTCTGTCTTGAAGATGTGTGCCTGATAATTACAATAACATATACTTATCTTTCAGGTCTCCTGTGCATGTTTAAAAATCTGTATGTAATCAGCTACAGTGTGCCTGTAGGGTAGAAATTTGTTAGTTTTTTTCAACATTCACAGCCTAACCACAAAAGGATGGTGCCTCCTGCTAACCTGTTTCTAAATAGCAGTGGTGGGTGGTGGTGGAAGAGGACATTTTAGTAACTGAGTATTTTGGAAAGTAATTAATTGAATAAGCAGTATGGAATGGAATACACTCCTTGGTTGTATACTTCAGTTTGCTATTAGAGGTCTCCAGACACTGAAGTTCCCTGATTTACTAGAGTTGGCTCATGTATGTTGTTTACCTTATGCTCAGTATGAAGGGATCCTACAGTAAAAGGTGAACTTCAGTGTAATATGTAATTTTTTACAATTACATTGAAATTTTAGTTCTGTAAGAAATATGTACTAAGGAAATTACAGTAGGGAAGACTTTTTAATATATTCTGTTTAGGTGGTATATGTTCTCCAAAATCATGGTATTGATTCAGTTCACATTTTATACAATTACTACTCTTTTATTTCATCTTACATTTTTCTTACACTGTTCTTTGTAAGAAATAGTGCTTCAGTTTTCCTTTCAAGTGTGCTTGTGGTACTCTGCACTAATACAGAAGGGTTTTTCACATAGGTGACAAAGCCTTCTTTTTGGATTAAGGCAATTCCTGCCTTCCTCCTGCTAAAACACTGAGCCTTTATTGGTTTTTTTTTTAATGGCAAAGTGCTTTGTTACAGAAGGATTCATATATACTTAAGAGGATTTGATAAACTTCCATTTGTAAGGTCCAAAAATACTAACATTACTGTTTGCCTCACTTTACTATATTTTTCCTTATTTTGTGATCATTCTAGTTTCTTTTTGTCTTCCAGAAAACGGGGCAGTACTTGAAGGCTTGACAAATGCATCCCAAGTTGAAAAACTTCTGCATTCCTTCTCCTCTTCCTCCTTTAGAAAATTGACTTCATTAAAGAGGTAAAATTGAATATTGCTTTTTTTTTTCTCTAGGTAAAGTGAACTAGAACTCAACTACAGTAGCATGCCCCACGATGTTTTTTTACATGTATCCATGTCTCATTCTGTTTCCCTGTATCAGAAGAGATGTCTTTGGAAACTTTGTTTGCAGAAATCTATTTAGTTGTGTTTGTTATTTTATAGAATTGTCAGTGCTTCTGCTGAAATAATTCACCCAAGTGTTACTTGATATTAAATGAATGTAGTTTCTGAATTTGTTGTATTTTGGGATATTTAAACATGCCTTAGAAATCTGAAGCAGTTCCACAGGAGTTTGTATTAATGACTTGCTGCCAAGGGCCATTGAAAAATGCTACAGGAACTTAAAAATTGTGTTGGGAAGCTTTATATCTTATTTCGCTTCATTTTCCATTTAACAAATACTGATCTGTTCTTAAATACAAGTCTTTTGTCAGAAACCAAAACAAGTACATTGTGAGAACAGGTGATTCCAGTCATGTAGTCTGGCTGTTAAAAGGTCATTTCTCATAGGACTTCCATGATGTCACTTATATGTCAAACTTGTCTTTCAGATGTGTTTTGACAATTATTTAGGTTCAAACAAAAATTACTAGCGTAAAATGTAAATAATTCACTTCATGTTTACCTGCCTTTTTCTTATAAATTCTACAACAAATTCTGCAAATAGTAGCCTTTAATATATTCTTGACGTTACTTGTATAGAGTTTAAAATGGAAAAAAAAAAAAGAAAGGGCTTTGAAGCTGATGGGTATTTGTAGGTTTAGAAAAAATGTGGTAAAATTTTCTGACTGTGTGACAGCTTTGTTGTTGTTTAAAATTCTTGTATAGCAATTATCAATTTCTTTTTTGAAAAAAAAAAAAAGTGACCAAAGTATCTTTTAAAAATACAGTGTCCCTTCACAGATTTTCTGTTTCTTGTTTCTTTTCAGCCAGCTGTTAACCTGCATGTCCTGTCAAAAATAAACTTTGGATGAAACTTTAATTAAGAATCACTGTCTTCATATGTCTAATATGGCTTTTGTATTTTACTGTCTCCTCAATTTATCACTTTTCAGGTCACTATTCTTAGGTTTTAGTCTCTAATATTAGGTTACAGCTTCATTCACTTCTTCCGATTAAAATTTTTTGGGACCTTAATGACTTCCAGGTATTGCCAACCTGTACTGAGATCACACACTGTTTAAACCTGTTTGAACATCAAGCAAAGGTGTCTAATAATGCTTTGTGTTTTAGATAATTCCTACTGTTGCTTTGAGAGTTAAATTTATGTGAATTCAGTAGTTGTTAGAATATGAGCGTTGTGTATAAAATGGAAAATAAATAATAGTTGTCCTTGCAAATTTTCTTTTTTGTTTGTCTCTGAGAATTCCAACATACTTTTACAAGAGCTAAATCTTGCCATTTGAATGAGAAGCCTCAAAATTCTTTAAGAACAAGGTTTAAGGAGTAAAGTTCTGCTCTATTTATAACTGGTTTGTTTTATGAAACTGCTTAACTTCAAGCTGTATCTAAAACTGTCATTACCAGTCTCACATGATTTGTTCCATGATGCTCTTTATTTTGTTTCACTTGTCTTTTCTTTGTACAGTATTTGGTAAGGGAGCAAGGATGGGATGATATATGTCTTAAATAATGTACATTTTGGCCTGAAGCACCAAATCCTCCTTTTTTTCCTCCTTGCCAATTTATGCACAATACTTTTGACTAAAAGAAGAAAATAGTTTAATCATTGGTAGGTAATGGGACTGATTGTCCAAAATGCAACTTTTCCTATTGTCTCATATTATATAATTCTACTGGAAAGATCTTAACAGCTTTTCATTGGGGTAGGACTTTACAAAACTAAATTTTCCTGCCAGAACTCTGATTTAGCTTCTTTTTTTCCCTTTTTCTTCTAAAGGTAAGAGAGAAGCAAAAGAAGTAAGAAAATGCTGGGAACAGAACGAGGTGTCGTGGAAGAATGGCTGTCAGAATTCAAGGTGAACTGAGAAGATGAATGATAGCTCAACCACTGGCTTAATGCCATAGAATGTAGTTGGGAGGGGTTTTTTAATATTCAGAATCAACATTTTAAATAACTATTACTTGATCTTTCAACTTCTTATAATGCATAAAGCACAAAAAGGTCTGTGTAATTGAGTCAGCTGGTACATAACCTACAATGCATATTTCTAATAGTAGTTTATTTTTGTTGCTGTTGTTTACTGTAGAGCAGAACACTGCTGTAGCAATAGGGTTTCTTAAAACATGTATTTTTGCGTAGGTCAAGCTGATAGAATTTAACTAACAGCTGGATAGCACTGCCCAAATTTGTAATTGAAGAACTTTCTTATTTGAAAAAAAAAAATCAGTATAAATATTTGGACTCTAAAAAAACAACAACAAAGAAAAATATTTTATTTTTTTCCCCCTGTGGTCTGTGTAAAATTAATTGTTTTGTCTTGAAGAACCTGAACTATTTTTAAGCTATTAAACTATTTTGCATGTTGATAATTATGCTGAGTGAAATATAGCATAATGCATAAACAAGAAAACAGGATTTCATGACTGATATGAAATTAATCTGTTAATTAAATTATGAATTAGTAATTCCTCACATCACTGATGATAGTAAGTCATTACATGCTGTTGCTGGAAATTTGTGTAAGATCCAAGGATGCAAAATCCAAAGACATGTTTGCTTGGGGAAGAGTTGAGGCTGTCCATACTCATTTTGTATTATCCACACCTCGTAAAAAATAAGTTGAGTTGATTCCATAAGGTCTTTGAAAAGTGCCTGTTAAATACAGAGTGTCAAGAAAGAGAGTCCAAATATCAAATGAGAGCAAATGATTTTATGGAAGATGAATCTGAAACTACTTTGGGATTTAACCCTCAGAGTGGTTGTGTGCTCCCAAATGTTATTTGTATGGAGAAGAACTTGTACTGAACAACTAGGTGGCAAGCCTGAAAATTTACTGAAGTTCAGGATTTTTTTTTTTATGTTGGGATGAGACGTAATCCTTTTGTGGAGATCTTATATACTTGAAAAAATTTATTTGTCAGGGTAACCTTTTTTTTTTTCTTTAGGCATTACCTGAATCACAAATTTCCAGCTATGCAGCTACATTGCACCGAAAAAAACCACTGGTACCAGCTCTTTATAAGGTCATTCAAGACCCAAATAATGAGGTAGGAGATTTTAAAAAAGATTTTTGTTCTTATTCTTATATCTTTCACCTCTTCAACTAAAATGAGAGTAATGGAGATGAAGCTTGTTTGATTCTTGTTTCTACTGCAATATAGTGTGTGTCAGCCCTCTTTTTATTCTCTTGGTTTTTTGAGTTATTTTAATGCATTTCTAGTAAGATGCAATCTCATCTGCTTCCAAAAATACAGTTTTCACTGTCTGCTAGATTTTCCTTGCCACAGCTGACTATTGTACTTTATTTGGCATGAGTTGCTCTTTGTGAGTTGTTTTTTTTCGGGGGGGGGGGGGAGATATGTTTGGGGTTTTAACTTTGTGTTTTTTGGGGGGTTTTGAGGGTTTTTTTACTCATTGTTTTAGTTCTTCCCAGAAGCTACCTTTCAGTCATAACTGAGACAAAGTAGGCCATGCAGTGAAACTCAGCAAGACTTATGTGCTTTTCACCTGTTGGCTTATTACAGTGGAAGATGGAATCAATTTTTTAAATATTACTAAGATAACAAGATCTTCTTTGCTTACACTAGTATCACTTTTGTGTTTACACTGCTGTAAACAAGAGCAGAGGCAGGGCCCCAAAATATAAATAGACACGATGAAAACTTACTTTACCCTTGTACATAATTCATCTTGGAAATGACATTAAACAGCTTTCCAACCCATTGGCTTCTGCTAGGAGCATTTCTGGGCAAGTGTATGAAATACAACTTTTAAATAAATTGTGCAAGCATGCCATTCTCTGATGTGTAAACTACTTTAGATAAAATGCTTCAAAATGTTTGATATATCATCCATGATCTTTTGTATAGTTATAAATAAAATGGGTAGTGTACACAGCAAGGAAGTTCTTTGTTTTCCTAAGCCCAACTCAGCTGCTTTTGGAAGCTGAATGGTTGATTGAGCTTCAAGGAGGTTGCATAATGCTCATGCAATTCAAAAAAAAAAAAAAGGCTTCATAGCTGTCAGCTCCATTTCAGTATTATAAATAACCTGCATAGTGACCTTTTTCTTTGTACTGAAGCTACTGTTATTCTCTCTCCAACCCGAAGCCACCATTGCTGCTATGTATTTGTGTGTGTGTGTACTCCTGAAAATGTAAAAGCTTTCCTTTGCTTTGAGAATAAGCATTTATTTTTTTTTGATATGCAAAGAACCAGACCTGCAAAAAGAGTATTTTCTTAGGGGTGTGACAGTAATTTTAAGTTATTGCTCACTGATGTTTGTCAAATATTACTCTTTGGAACAGCTGTTGCTGTTTGGGCCTGATTCTGATATCAGGTATAACATAAGCAATCCCAGACCCAAAGATGTCTAACTTCAGGTTCTACTTGTTAAGGCAGTATCTATTTCCTGGTTGCACTTATTCCAGACTTATTTGTGTGTAAGGAATGTAACTATAGTAAATTCATTACTTTGCATAATTCTGTAGTAACATTGGCTCTAAGCAAGAGGTTTTTTAAATATGCTTTACAGGGCATTATTTGTTAGAAGGATAATTGATTGCTTATGGAGATTAAACTTATGTAGTAGACTATTATAAAAATGTATTTGCTGGATTCTTAAACTTGATGGACAAGTAATTTTTTTAGTACAACTTAATCATGAAGTTGACCTATTTTTAAAACTTCCTGAAAGTGGCAAACTGTTTAGGGCAAACTTGAATTTTTCTAGAATCACAATTCTATCTTGATAAGACCAGGTTTATTAATGTAACGTGGAACCAGCCTGTTTAGGAACCAAAAAACTGAGGTGTTTCTCTTTTTGGACAACTGTCTACCAATTTGAGAGCTATCAAATGAAGGCAAGCATATTGTCAAGTTAAATACAGTTGTTACTGTTTGCCTTTTACGAGATGCCCTGACTTTTTTAAATATGGTGAAGATAATGACCGGAGCAGAAACTTATAAAAAAATTAGAGGGTGATCTCTCTCACAAACAGCTTATTTAACTGAATAATGTATTGGGTTTTGCATGATATTTGAACTTAAAAGTGAAGTAGTTTTGAAGTACTGTTTTTTAGATAATTCAGTAATTTTTGGAGTTGGTTAGTGGCTGTAGACATACTCTGTAGATGTCAAGTTAATGCTCTTCTGCAATTTAAACATCGAATATTCATGTGAGGCTAATTAGGTTTAACTTGAGAGGACAGCCATGAAACAGAATAACATCACCTTTGCAATGCCAAGCACTCCCAGACCCAGTACTCTTCAAATAATAAATGTTTTCACTCATTACATGATAGTTCAGCCTAAAATGAGCACATTATTTTCTACCACAGTTGAATTTTCCAAAAGTGTAAGCATTTCCGGTATTTGTCATGCATTTTATAATACAGTGTATTTAACTTCAAGGTATGACTCTTAAGATTTGGCCAGCTTATGAAGAAGCCAAACTAAAAGTATTCATCAGTTTACTTAAAATATGACTGGTTTGCATCTCTGTGAGGTGTAAATTAGATCATTCTCTTCTGCTGCCTATTTAAGCCAGTAAAAGTTCATTTCTTTTTGTTATGCTGATTGCTGTTTATGCTAATAGGAAAGATCTTTTAATTATAAGTCTTTAGTTTGTCAGGAAAGAGATAGGAGTATAAGAGATTTTGTACTCTGGATTTTTGTGCTGACTGCTGTGCTACTCAGTTTGATTTGACTTTGGACTGAAAGATCTTTGGAATTAAATTGTGTGCCAGTTCACGTATACATCCACTACTGATGACAAAAGCTCAATTTCCTCTGTTTATCCTGTGCCTTCTCAGTATTTATATTCAGAGAATTAATTGGAAGAGACTGGCTCTTTGAAAAGCCAGATAACTATGAGGCAAGGAAAACATCTGTTCTTTCTTACTTGTGTCAAGTTTTACATTTCCAGGTGGGAGACCATCCTACTGTACTTGAATAGGAAAATCTTGGGTGTTCATGCTTTTGAAAATATTTGTGTTGTAGCATCTTTGTGATGGCAGACTAATTTTATAAAATTTTCATTTGAAAGTAGTTAGAATAAACTCAATAACTGCTCTGGTCGAGTCTCATCTGACTTAAGCTAAAATAAATTTTTCTTTTCTATGTTTTTAATGGGACTTGGATTAGACTGGCTAATTTCAAATAGAAAAGAGCTTTGGGCTGCTGTCATCTCTAATCTAATAAAAGTACTATTTATAGCATTGCCTCTGTATATATCTGGTTTCAGATAATAGTTTTTAGCTTTTCTTGCACTTGTCATCTCCCTGCAGATGTGCTTGTATGTATTGTTTTCAGGGATTTCTTTTTCTTCTTTACGCTAGCTTCCTGATCATATTGCTTTTTAAAGAAAATCTAGAAATTCATTCTAGTAATGTCTGAATTATTTGTTAACCACTTCTTAAATTTGAACATCTGAAATGTGCTAGACCTTTCATAAAACACGGATACAGCTCTGTCTCTGAGGATTTGAACATTTACTGTAACAATTATTTTGTCACTTTTAGATAGGAGTTTCTACTAAGTAAATATTAGTTAAGAAAGGATATACTCCTGCCTCTTTTAAACATAAAGTCCTATGTATGTATGAATACTGGAATAAATATACTAGCTAAAATAATATATGCTCAACTTGATAGAGAAAACTGTATCACTTTTTTTCCTTAAATTGACTGCAACAGAAGCTTTACAGACATCTAATTTCATTTAGATCCCAAAACAAAAATTGTTATTTTATATATATATGACTTGTAAAAATCTATGTGTTCCAGATGACTGGACTTCTCTCACTCTGTGTCAACATTGTCACTGACAGCTTTCTTCCCTCCCTCTCTTGTAGAGTCTCTCTTTGCTTCTGTTGTAAAAGCTTAGAGTAACAAGTCTGTCAGTCAGAAGCCTTGTTACACAAGGTACTTATACCAGAGTATTGTTTAAGAGATTTCTCTGACAGCTAAGTTTTATTTGACGTCAGTGTCCTGTCGTGGCTTATGTAATCAGTGGTTTAAGATGGTAAGCTTCACTGACCACACTGCTGTGTGTTAGAAATGAAACTGCTGTGCTCACTGCTTCCTGGGTGATACTCTCTTAAGGCAGCTGTCTCCATAGACTGTTCTGTCAGATGTATGTTTTGTGTTTGTGATATACCAGCGTCCAATATCCAAGTCTAAATATGTGTATGTGAAATTGTACATTCACACAGATTTACGGCATTGCACATTTATCAAACGTTCAAACTACTCACTTGCAGAAATGTCTGTCCCTCTGCTGTTAGCCAGGGACTTCCAAGTTTTTTAAGACAATGGATAATTCACAACAAACCCCAGAAGTACATCTTTTTACAGCATAGCAAGAGAGTGACAGGCAATTCCACAGGAAATTCTGGGTACTAAAATTGTGATGAATAGACAAATTAATGAAAAAAGAATGCATCAAAGTCCATGAAATATTCTGCTCTGAAAGTCCTAAGGTGCATATCCCTGGGAGTGAAAGAGGAGTCATTTGTGCCTTATCTGATTTACTCTGCACTGGGTATTTCCTCTTTATGCCTTTTTGTCTCACCAGTACATCTGCTACTGTGTTGGTCAAATGTAAGGTTTTTATTGCTCTAAAAGCATGTATAATTTGATGTTTTATATCTTATGTGTGTATGTATAAGCAAGCTTCATAAAGCATGTACTGTTAGAAAGAAGGCTTGTTAGAGATTCTGGCCTCTGTTTTCTGACTCTGTAACTCTTCTATATATTAATATAGATGCTTTAGCTTACATGTATGCCTTTGTCTTTTTGGACACTGAATCCCATAAGTATTTTCCTTAGGTCATTCTGTTTAATAGAATGCAATGTTAGATAATGGTCACAAGCCTTACAAAAATTTGTCTTGAAATTTTTTAATTTTGGGAGGGATTCCCCCCTCCCTCAGTTTTTGGTTTTAGTATTAAAACTTGATTAGGTGTGGGAAAAGATGAGACCGTTTGACATTCATTAACAATGCCATGGATGCATCTTGACTATTGGTTTGGCATTGTAGACTCTTAAAGTGACAGGTTTATCTTGTGCTTATATCCCACTGACTTGATAGGGGCTTTTTTTTGATTCTTGTACTAAACCTGAAGTGCAGCTCAAGATGGAAAGATCAGTTTTGCATTGTAATAAACATATGCACACTTGTTGGGTTTGAGACTAAAAAACTGTAGGTAAGAAATCAATTTGTATTTCTGTCAATGGACTTATCATTAGCAGCTAATCTTTAACCTTTATACTTTTATAGACCTTACAACTGCACTATTAAAGTTTTATGGTGCACATAGTTGAAGCCACGTGTCTGTCACACGCCATAGATTAGTACCTGTATAGAAAATAAATCTCATACTGACAGCCCTAGAGAATAATCTTCTCAAAGCACACATGGTAGTGGCTGCAGTAAAGCCACATTGCCCAGTACTGCATACCAGTTCCCCTGAGCCCTGTCCTTATGGATCTCCTTAAAAGGAATGCAGATACCATTTTGATTCACTCACATCAAGGAATGTAATTTTTAATAGCTGTGGTGGCTATATGGTGTAGCCCCTACATTTGCTGTTTCACTCTCCCTTATTGGAGAAGCCTACAAGTAAGTCATTAGCTTTTTTGCCTTTCCACAGCTCCTGGAGCCTGTTTGCCACCAGCTCTTTGAACTTTATCGTAGCTCTGAAGTTCGGCTCAAGAGATTCACACTGCAGTTTTTGCCAGAGCTGATCTGGGTATATCTGCGTCTCACTGCCAGCAGGGACAGGCAGAGTAATGGTTGCATTGAAGCATTGCTGCTTGGCATTTACAACTTGGTAAGTGAGATGAGTGGGAATGGGTGAGGAAGGCTTTAAGTTTTGCATCACTGACCACTGGGAATAAAGTAAATTATTGTAACAACATCTTTAAAATTAAAATACACTTAAATGAAAGCATATTTAACATAGAGAAAAGGATAATGTAATGAAGGTTTAGTAAGGATGCGTTTGCAAAAATATTTTTTATATTTTATAGTTATCTTTTATGGGAAAAACATTTTTGCTGAAAAGGATCACCTCGTAGGCTTTCTCAAACTGTTATACACTTGTGTTTGTAAGGAAATAGATGGCCCTCCTTAATGTTCCGAAATACAGCTTTCTATGATTGTCAGGCTGATATGTTTGATAAGTATTCATGTGTCACTTCCCACACTCTCCCACTTACTCTGAATGTGTCTTTAAGGGTAATTTGAAGGTGAAACCACTCTGCATGCACTTAGATACATACATGTGTACATTTGAGTCAGAGTCTTGAGGGGAACTGTGGTTTTAAGAATAAGTAAAAATAACAATAAATTATTAAATTTGACTGTTGGATGTAAAAATAGGGTTTTATATTCTTATCTTAACCTGGAAATGTTTACTTTTGTAGTGTTATAAGGCTGTTTGATAAATTCAGCAATACTGCCACAATAGGCATTCTCTAATGGGAATTTCTGTGTTACAGCACCTTAAAACATACTCTAGTGAAAAATAGTCCTTCCCTGTGCTATCATTGTAAACTCCTCCTTTAAATTGTGTATTATATTTCTACACATGATAAGACAGAGAACAGCCAAACTGTGATTCTTAAAAATAAAATATATTATAGTTAGGCATTTGTAGATCAGCTCTAACAACTGGAAGATCTAAATATTTTAGATTTATTCTGATAGAAAAAAAGCACTGGAAACTGCTGATTTTTAGTACTGTTTATTGGATTGAAGTAGCATGTTTATCTTTTTGCCCGTTTTCTCATGAAGGTTCCTCTGCAGTTCCTTTACAAGTCATGTCAGTGATTCATATTTTTTAAGGACAGTAATTTTTCCATTCTCTCCAGTTTCGGGAAGAGACCTCAAAATGGACAATGGCTCCCACTACTTTTTATCTTTAATGAAGTTGATATTTTTGTGCATATATATTGAGACCAAGGGAGTGAAGTTATTTTCTCAGTACTTGGAAAATGAAAGATAGGGATAGATCTTTTGCATTCTGCTAAATTGTGTCAGCTGCCCTTCTGTTGTAATCCTTAAAGCCTGCTGCAAGTACAGAGTTACCTCGGGCTAAATTTTCGCATAAGCTGGAATGACTGGAGCTTATTGTTTGAAAATTTGCTGTACAGAGTGCACAGGCACGATTTTAGACTCCTTTTTGGGGTAGTCTTATGTAATTGCTCTTAGTATATTTTCTTTAAAAACTGCTGGGTTTGCTTATGTAGTAGCCTAGCAACTATAAAATATGGCCAGTCTGAAAGCCTTTTGAGAGAACACTCTGTGTATTTCCTACTGATGGGATGCCTGAGGAAACTTTGCCAGTCCCCTTGATTTCACCTTTTCTCTGTGGTGCATTTATTATGAAATGCTGTCAGCAAGTGACTCATCAGCCCTCGTGTGTCAGTATCTTTTGGGCTTGAAGTTTAGCCTTGCTCCTCTGTGCAATTCTGTTATAAATAAATGTTATAATGGAAAGGTGGGCTAGAAAAGCTTTTTTGTTCCTGTTTGTGTGTTTGAAGTCACACCAATCAAGGAGCCAGGGCTGGTTTTCTAAAGTGTTGCAGGCTGATTCCACAGAGCAGTTCGTGATAGAGGTATTTCCCATGTCTTAAATTTGTATGTAAATTTGCTGATAATTCTGCAAATGCACAGAGTCCTTGAGGTGCTAATAGATCAGGACATGTTTTTGAAATACCTTCTAAGAGTTGAAAGTTACTCCAAGTCCTATATCCTTAGTTCTGTTTGGGTTTTGGTCTTGTTTTTAATGCAGGAAATTGCTGACAAAGATGGAAACAACAAAGTTTTGTCTTTCACCATCCCTTCGTTATCTAAACCCTCAATATATCATGAGGTAAGGAGAACTGCTGTGGTAAATTAGAATTGGATCTATTAGAGGAATGAAAACTGGATCCATTTGATGCCGCAGGCTATTTTAGATGCATCTTGTTGCAGTAAGTTTTCAGTGTCAGTATTTTACAATTAGTGTAATCAAATTCAATAGCATTAGTAGAAGAAAAGGAATGTAAATGTTGAAAAATCTTTGCTGACAGTGCCCATTTTAAACAAAGATTAGTGGTGTTGTAGTTGCGGCTGTAGTTAGTATATATGCTGGTATAAAAGAAGTGTTCCTTCTAGCTCCTTAATACAGTTAGAACTTGGAATTGTGTTTTTCTTTCTCTACTGTTTTTGGACAAAAGTCTATGTGGTTAGGACAACATTACTATAAATGGATATGTAAGAAGCAAAGTGGAAAATTGCTCTCACCTCTCTATTGCTTGTAAGTGTGGATGCTGTTTATAATAACAAAATTAGATAATGTTTTTAGATTTACTGTATTCTGGAATAATCTTCGTTTTTACAGATAACAATATAAATGTGTCTTTTGCCTTGAGTGGTCAGGAGTTTTTTGGGGACCTTTTACTTATGCTTTGCTTTCCCCCCTCCTCCTACCACCTACTTCTAGCCCTCTACTATTGGATCCATGGCTTTAACTGAAGGAGCACTAAGTCAGCATGATCTAATCAGAGTAGTTTACAGTGATCTTCATCCTCAAAGAGAAACCTTCACAGCGCAGAACCGGTAGGTGATGTGCTCTAACATTCAATGTGCTTCACTAGGGAGGCAAGTCCTTAAACATTAAGACCAAATATATGTGATCAGTCCTTTCTCAGCATTAAGTGCTTGGAAACAAATCTAGAGAGCGTCTTGGTAATCTTGAGGTATAATGTTTTTTTTTTCCCTTTGTTTCGAATTTTTATGTTCTTCTACTAGTTAATTTAGAAAAGTAACTTCTCTGTCACTTCCATGTAGGTAAGGAATATCTTTGGGTTTATGGCTGGCTATTCAGTTTTTCCTTGAGGTATAACAAAATTCAGCTTTGTATCTGAGGCTGTAACTTTTTTTTCCAAAGGAAGAGGGGGAATGGAGCTAAGTGGATAGATGGAACTAGGGGTGAAAGAAATTGCCCTGGTGTTTAGTGACTGCCAGCTTTACCTGTGTCTAAAGACAGCTCTGGGAAAACTGATAAAATAATTTTGAATGTATTGCAGACATTTCCAGTTCTATAATTTTGTCCAAATATTATACCATATCCCATTTCCTTAGTAGTTCCTGTGTATGCTAATGGCTTTCAGTAATAATAATTTTAACTGTTTATAGTGACCTTTTGATAGCCTGTTTCAAGTTAATGACCAATGAAAGAGAGTTTAAGGATTTGTGTATTTACTTCTGATGCTTTTTCCTGTGGGGTATTTTTTGAGACTGAATTGTAGACTTTTTGGGTTGAATTTTGACGAAATATTAAGAATTTAAACTATGCAAGGTTTTGCTCTTATCTCTTTCTAGGTTTGAGGTGCTGAGCTTTCTTATGCTATGCTACAATTCTGCTATTGTCTATATGCCTGCTTCTTCTTACCAATCACTTTGTACGATGGGTTCCAGGTGAGACACTTGCCTTTGAAATAGTCTTTCAGGGAGCATCTAGGCTTCTAAATATTCATCCAGTAAAAAAAAGATGCTTTTTGATGGGAATGGATTAGTTCTTGGTATGCTTCCATCATTTTCACTCGAGTTATAGCTATGGTAAGTGTGCCAAACACGTTGAATTTTCCTGCATCTGAAAATTAGATCTGTTCGTTGAGTAGAGAGGAGAGAGAACATTTTGTATGCAAGGGATTTCTGTTTTGGAAACAGTGCAGCAGTTACTATGTATTAGTGGCCATGCATTGCTTCCATGATGAAGACTCAAATAGTAAACTGAAAGAATAAATTATTCTGGTTTTTATGGAGGCGGTATATGGGAAGGCAGGCCCTGTTTTCAAGGGGCAGAAGTACTTTTTAGAAGGCAGCTAAGAGCAATTCTCAAGAATATAGTATCTGTGTTATCTAACTTTAGGTAAAGGGTGATTGCATGCTGTCATCATACATTAGATGAGAGATGACATATTTCTCTTCTGTACCGCTCAAATGTTTCCTTTAAAGAAAATTGGTTTCAGTTACTGAATTTTGGGGAGGGTCTTCTGCCTGGTGGCTGGCAGTAGAAAGCATCTTGCCACCCTCATTCCTTAGAAGCTGATTGAAGAAAATGTTTTGAAGAAAACAAGTGGGGTTGATGGCTACGTGGAAAATAACACTGAATTATCAGCAAGCCACATCTCAGGGCACTGTTACAAAACTGCTGTAATGGTTAGGAAGGGAACATAAGAACCTTCTGTGTTGTGTATTTATATTTTGAAAAATAAATCTGAAAATTAACTAAAATCTCTGTTATATAAAGACATTTTAGTCTTTGTGGAGTTAACACTTTCTTGTAATGTTGGTTTTTTTCAGGCTGTGTGTGAGTGGATTTCCACGGCAGCATGAGAAACGCTGGAAAGAACCCTGTGGTAGAGTGGTGTTAGACCCTGACTTCATGGTACAGCTGCTCACAGGTGTCTATTATGCCATGTAAGTGGATGGGGCTTTTTTCGCTAAAGAGAAAGGTCTGATTTTACATGAATCAAAATAGAAGTGCCAGTTGTTTTATAATTGAAAAAAATAGTTAAACTCATAACACGAGTTTATAACTCGATGAGTGTATTTCCCATCACTTGCTTATTCAGTGAACCGATGATTTCAAAATATTTTTGTGAGCGCTGAATTAGGTGACGAAGGGTGAGCAGTAGCTGCTAAAGAGAGTTAGGCTTCTGGTTTCATCTTTTCCCAAGTTCCCACTACCAGTGGGTACCTTCTGTTCACAAACATAATGAGCTTGGATGCCAAGATAAACTGATGAAATGCAGACCTCTAGGATGTCGGTAGGATCTGAGGCAGCAAAAATCCATTTCTGGTAGCATTAACCTTTACATACTGACCCCATTTTTTTAATTTTATTTTTAAGTTTGTCCTGAATATGGCATCAATTTTGTCATGCTTGGAGGTGACAGGGAACAGCTTTCTTGTTATACCAACAAGATTAATAAAAAAATGTTTTGTCTCCACTTTTAAAAGAAGTGACAGGGTTGAGGTGTACAAACAGTTGATGAATTTTCTATGTAAGCAAAGAAGTTAAGGTCAGGATTTGGGCAGAAAAAGGACAAGTTTGTCTTCATAAGATGTGAAAGATATTTATCTTTACTTTTAGATATAATGGTCAGTGGGAACTTGGCCAAGAGGTATTGGAGGACATAATTTACAGAGCACAGCTTGAACTCTACTCACAGCCTCTGCTGGTAAGAAACAATCCATTGCAATTTATGGGCTTGGTTCAGAGGAGTATGGATGTGTTTCCATACTGGTAATGAGAGCTTTTGTGGCCATTCACTGCAGTATCAAATGTGAGTGGTTGTTCAGCATAGCTGTTTATACCGTACTTCTTCTGCTTGAGTGGTGTTGGGATCTCTAGCTGAAAGCTAGAATTTTCTAATGTGTTACAGTTGGCTCAAAATGTTTATGTTGTTTTGGCATAAGCTACTGATGAGTGGTTCAAAGAAGCTTAACTGAATAATTATATGTCATAGGACAGTGGTTGCAAAAAAGGTGTTTTGTTTACTTCTAGACCTTCCTCATGGCTGAGAATAAGCTGTGTGGTTTAACTAATAACTCAGTAAAAAAACCCAACAACAGGATAGAGCTGCACCTGAAAAGGAGCTTCATCTCCAGAGTCAATACCAGATTTTGTTTGATCAAAGTCACACAGATCTTAAACTTTACCTTCTTTAGAGAAGCAGCGATAAAGTGGAGTAGTTCTTATTGCTTGGATTTGGGGTGGGGTTTTTTTTCAGTTTTCACTATACTTGCTGTTTTAATCATAAAAAGAGGGAAAATAAATGAGGAAAGTGGTGAAACTGTGCTAGGTGCAGGTGGATGGGATTGGGAAGGATGAGAAGGTTGACAGAAAGGAGGAATTGTGTCACGTAGGAATGAAAAGTAAAAGAACAGGGAAAATTAGGGGAATAAAGTAAAATAGACTGCTGTTTCGGTTTCTGCATCAGAATTGTGGCTAGAAGCCTTTAGTTCTCCTCCGAACTAACAGTCATAAAATTTCATTGCTTTTTACATAACTGAAAGAGTGAATTGGTAAAAATCTATTTATGTGGCAATCTGAGATCACTCTTTTCTGAAATAAATTACAGGAAATTATTCTCTTGATAAATTAATATTGACTGTAAAATTTATCTGCAGGCTTTCTGACACTGCTGCATTTAAAATGCCTGGTATCCATTGAATTATTGTAATAATTGGTTCCTTTTGGAAATGACGCATCACTCCAGCAGATTGAAAGTTTTAAATTAAATATTGAACCTGCTGAATAGGGCTAACCTATCAAGGATTTAAAAGATGTGTAGGAGGATCTGGAACTGGACGATATGACAATTTTCAGTCTTCATTGTTCATTTTTAATCAATTTGTCCTTAGAGACAATTGTAAGAATCTTCTAGTTGTAAGAATCTTCTAGAATGTCTTTGGTTTTTTTCCAGAGCTCTTATTACTTTTCAGTCCAATTGTCTGGTGTTGATGGCATCACGACATCATCAATTTTTACCCCTTCCCAGTTGTCAGGTTTTTCCTGTATATGCACGCAGGTCTATCTGAGGAATTTTTCTTCTTGGTACTCTGATCATTGCCTGCTTCCTCTTTTATTTTACTAAAATTTCTAAAAAGCAGCTTTACAAAATTGTCACTTCTACAAAATAATTGCCCTCATGCTATATACTCAAGCAATTTGACTTTTTCAAAGATTGGAGCTCTTTCATCTCCTTTCGTTGTTTAGGAGAGGTGTATAATTTAGCAGCATTATAAAATTCTATATTTTAAACTTAAAACTACTAGCACTAAATAAAATATCGTCTGGGATGCTGCACAGGCAAAAGTTTCAAGTTCAGCTTCTGCCTAGGATTTCCTAATAGCAGCAAATTCTTTGAACTCCTTTTAATATTTGCCCATATTACAGTTATTTTTAGATATCTCTACTGAAGGTATTTGTGTAATTATGGGAATACCAGTGGTAATCATTACAATGAGAAACATCGTGGTCCCTGTGTTTGAGTATGTCTCTTGGAGAAATATTTTTGACAGTATAGTAGATCCATGCTCTTACTTACATAGACTTTTATTGTCTGGAGGAAAAAAAAGTAAAACCCAACCAACCAGCGAATAACAACAAAGAATGCCACCTGGAACAGCTGCATCAGAAAGTTTGAAATACCTGTAATGTAGAAGTGGTCTTCTACCACTGCTACCCAGAGACTGTACTGGAAAGGGCAGGAAGTAACACAGGGGAAAGACCTTTTCTGGGTAAACAAAAGTACCTCTGTTAACAAAACCCTGAGTATTGGTTTCATAGTCAGGAAACTGGGAGTTTCTGCAGAGGCAAACTAATCACGAAGAGTCAGAATTACTACCAGCCTGTACCTGAGGAGTAGGCCAGTGCCAGTCAGTCTTTTCCTCTGAACTGAGGATTCTGCACTCTTTTCAGACAGAAATCCCTGTCTTCACAGCAGAGACACAAGAGGTTTCCTAGTTCAATACACAAGAATCATGGATCAGCAAATCCCTATTGTGACAGCACCTTTATCTGGTGTGTTTTGTTGATGCACTTAGCTGCTCTTGTTGAATGTTCTTTTGTTAGAACTCCTTTCTGGTAGACAAGAGTGGATGTCTGGCCTGGAACCAACCCTCCTTTGTCATTGATGCAGACTTGGCTTGCCAAATCTGAATTGTGCTGTGTGTTTATTTTCCTGCCTTTCAGTGCTGGATCAGGCATTGTGAACAAGTGTTTTTGCATCCTGCAAGATCATAGTTTTGATGGTTTTTTTGGTCTGATAAGGACTGTGACTCATTCAGACTGGTTGTTTAGATAGTTTCAAAGATTTACTGTTGCACTGATTTTTATCTCCATATGGTTTTCTCAGACCCCAGAAGTACAATTTGTTCTGTTAGAAAAGGCCAGCTGTTAAGAGGTTTAACGAGCAGAAATGCTCTGTCACTTTTCTGGTTCTGTTACAGAAGCCTTTTGCTACCAGTTTTTAGATTGATCATCCCTCTGCCCTCCCATACTGATAAGGGTACCTATTCCAAACAGGAAGCAACTCCAGTGAGTAGAAGATGAGAAGGCAAACAGTTGTATAATGTTGAACTTGATCTGTTTTGGTTCAGTCAGCAGAAATGAATTTCTCAAGCCTGTAGTGTGATAGGGTGACTGCAGTCTGTACCATTTCAGGAAATGGCATGGAAAAGGACCTAGGTGTGAATAGGAGAGCACTTCACAAACAAGTGTTGAGGCTGAGAACTGGTTAGCAAAGGGAAAACCAATGTTGGACAAGTGGAAGGCAGAATGACAAGGAGTATTTCTGTGGTGGTGCTAATAATCTTTCATGCTGGTTAGAAGTCAGACAGGCAGGCAGTGGAAATGATGTTTAATATAGAGTTACAGGATCACAGTGGCAGCAGGAGATCAGGATCAGCTATATGGCTGCCATTCCAGTCCCCTAGGACTGGTATTTTTATTACTGGTTAGTTGTATAATGTCAGTAAGATTTTAGAAAAATCAAAGTGTGTCCATTTTGTGGGTTGCACTTTTGGTTTGTTTTTTTTTTTAAAGCTTTAAGTAATATTTCGTGTGCATCAACTTTGTTATTGTAGAACATTGTACATGCCATAGAGACCCAGAGCTTTCCAAGTGGTGTTACACAAGTTGACTTCTTTTGAGCAATTTACTTGTAAACTAGGAAACATTTCTGAAAGTTGCTTTTTTCTTTTTTAAAGTAAACCTCTAATCCCACAAAGGCATTTTATGGGAAATGTAAAGAAGCAATTAAAACATCAAAGCCAAAAGAGGTCACTTGTTCTTCTCAAAGCTGCAAAACAAAACTTCTGACTTTGCACTAGGCTATTACAATAAAAAAATAGGTCTAACAAAGATGAATAGTAATTTGATGCTTACTGCTTAGGTTGCAATTTTTAAAAAAATAAATGTTGCATGTACCTGAATTCTAATCTCCTTGGTTAGGTTTTGCTGGGGTTTTTTGTTTGAGTTTTTTTTTTTGGGGGGGGGGGCAGTATGGGGTAGGGTGTGGTGGAAACTGGCCCTGTCCCTCTGTGCACCAGGCTACAGGCTGTTTGCATTGGCTTGGCCTATGACTTAGTTTTATGACACTCTTGTCATGAAGCATAAATGGTATTTTTCTTGTCATTTTGCAGTCTCTTTTGGATGGAGACCTTCCTGTATAGGTTATCTCTGTCACTACAGGTGGCAAACATGGAACAAAATAAATTACCTCAAAAAATTTGAGAAAATTCAACTCCGGTTTTGGGAGTGGGTTTGATGAGCTTTTCAATGTAGTTATCAACTGTGAATCCTGGGGATGGCACCATCCATCTTAAGGAGATCTGGCATGATTAACAATTCTTGGTTGTTCTCCTTTCTGTATCCAGCAAGAGATCTAATATTGCCATTAGTGCAATCAAGGATAGTAGTAGTACAGCATTTTACTTTTATCTTAGGTTGCAAACGCCATGAAGAACTCGCTGCCCTTTGACGCTCCTGATGCATCACAAGAAGGCCAGAAGGTACTGAAAGTAGAAGTTACTCCAACAGTGCCGAGGATTTCTCGGAGTGCGATTACAACGGCTTCTATCCGTCGTCATCGCTGGAGGAGAGAAGGTGAGCTTCCTCTGACAGGGGCAGGTATTACAGTGTACTGTAGTCATCATCATCACTGTAATCTGGCTTCTGTTTGAATGTTTGCAGAACAGTTGGGGGAGTTTTTTGTTTGTTTGTTTTTGAAAAGTGGTACTCCATAATAATGTATAATATTTTACATCTTCAGAGCACTGCATGAACATGAACATTTGGGGTGTTTGTTTTGGTTATGATTTGGAAATAAACCACGAGGTAGGTGAGAAAATGGAGAAGGTGGGAAATGTTTAATAAGACTTCTTTTTTTCTCCATGTAACACAGCACAAAATTGTAGGGGTAAAGTGTGGCTTAGAATTTGAGTTCTTTGTTTAATCCACACTAAAACTCATCTGCCTCCCATCATAAATAACTCAGAGAATGAATGGTAATATACAGACCTCGATAGGATTCCAGCTGTCTAAAGCTAATGATGGCAGCGGGAGAGGGAAAAACTGAACACCATGCTCCCATCAGATGGCCCAGTTTATTGGGGGACCATAAAATAGGTTTAGTTTAGAATTAATCTTTATTTTTCCTCAATGAGTACTTACATCATATGGAAGTGTGCTTGACTGTATCAAGAAAAAAAAAAATTCATAGTGATCTTTACCTTGGTGTGATGACATCTTCAGTGTAGGTGTAGCAAAAAGCTTGCTTTGAAATCACTTTGACATACTTGTAAAGCTTTGTTGCTCCGTGTATTAAACCGTGGTTTAAAAAAGCTGCATAAAATGACAAAGCTAAAAAGCAGAATAACCTAAAAATAAACTGAGGATAAAAGAATCTGAAAACAGGGATTGCATATTTTCCTGTAGTACTTTTCCCCCTCGCCCTTTTATTTTCTTTTATTCTCTTTTATTCTTCTCTGTCATGTGCAAAAGGATTTGATGACCTAGTCTTCAGCTGAATGTCCAGGACAACAAGTCTTCTGTTTCCAGGACTCTGGGTCATGTTTTCTTCACTGTACTTGCCATTATATTCATTTCTGGTCTACAGTGCAGCCCACCTGTCCCTTTCTGTGGATGTTCTGACAACGTTTAACTAAGCATGGGTAGTGTTTTGTGTTTGTTCCGTGTCCGCATAAATCTTCTATTTTCCCTGCCTGGGTTGGAATGCCAAGAAAGAAACAGAAAAGCACTAAAATGTTATATGTTGAATCCCAGATGGCTTTGACTTCTCAAACGAGGCTGACTCAAGCATTCCTGGCTCACCGATCCAACACGGCTCCACAGACCTAGGGATCAAACGTGAGCAAGAGGGGGAGGTGCTGATGCGCAGGACCCCTGAGCATGGCTTCCCGGAGCCCACCTTGGCAGCAGCCACCACAGAGGGTAGGACAGAGATGAGGAGGCAGAAGTCAGTGAGGCAGTTGCTGGAGGAGGATCCTGGCTCCCTATCCCCAAGCAGAACTTCTTTCCATTCTAGTGTGTGTTTCCGCTATCCCAGGGTGTATTAGCTTCTCTTTGCAATACACGCACCCCCTATATACCTAACACCAGGTCAGGTACTACCTTTTGTTATCACGTGGGCTGGCCTGGGGCTTGCATCTGTGTGGTGAAAGACTGCTTGGCATGGCAAAAAAAAAGAAAGACAGGGGTAATAGCCAAGAGCTTTGGGATTGCTTGGAAACCTTCCATTACTGAGCATGTTTAATCTAATATTAAGAAGGAACAAAATGCACCAGATGAGCACGATTCTAATCCTGAAAAGTAGACCGTGTAGACTATGAATGGATTTGGCTACAACTTAGTTGCAATGGTGTCTTGTTAGTCTGCAGTTTTTAAATTTTCAAGAATGAAAAAAGTCAAGCCTATCTAAGATGAATACAACTGCTGATGTTTTATTTGTCAGTCATCCTTTAACTGAAAACTCATACATGACAACTCATTTAGAACTGGCTTCTCTAAAGACAAGTAGCAAAAAAGCGCTTGTGTTTTCAAGAAGAAAACAGATTGTCATGTTTCTAAAACTTTAGAAACAACTGCTGCTTTCTTATCAGTCGTGCTGTCCACAAAAATGCTGTAGGGATTCATATGTCTGCTTTGCAGCCAAGAATAGAGTAGGTGGTGGAAATTTATTTTGCTTAAGTTCATCTATTAATTTTTGAGTAAAGATGATTTACTCAATGAAAGGTGTTTTTGAGTACTGAACTTGATTCGTTTCTTCTCAGAGATGAGAATTAATTTCTTGTAGATTTAGCTAAATATATTTTCAGGTGTTCTATCTTAAGTCTTCTTCTCTATCTGAACATTCCTTTGGTGTTTCCAGCCTCTATAAGGACTTCAGTTGATCATAAATGAGATTTATTTACACATTCAGATATGAGCTACATAGGTTTCAGATTTGTTCTTCAGGAAACAATAATCTGGATAATCTGAAGATTTAATGTAGTGTTATCACAGAATCCTTACCCTTAATCAGAGTTACTATCAATAATTAAGATGTCATGCTTCTGTAGAAGATCGTGGCATAAACATATTTAGTGCAGTTTATAATCTGCTTGGTGCATTGTGAATTTGAGCATGCTCAGTAAATGATCCTGTCTTCTCTTAAATTCACTTTTCAGTTGGTCTTACTCCATTTTACTAATCTTTGCATGTGCATGACCTGAAGGATATAGAGAAGTCCTGAGCTGCAGAGAACTTTCTGTAAGAGACAGGAAGTGGGAAAAAAGTCGATAGAGATACTGCATTTTAGTCTTAACTTGTTCTAAGACATTGTTTCAACTTGGCATATTGGATAAGGCATCATTCCACATGCTTTACTTCAGTAGAAATGGCTTGAATACCATTTACTTCTGTAACATTAGCAATGTATAATTACATGCTTGAGCAAACTGAATTCTCCAGTTGATAGCATCTGGGAGAAGGCCAAGGAATGGAGTTTGACTTGATTATTAGTGTATAATTGTGTGTGCATTTATAGGAGTCTGTTATTTTACTGATGCTGATTTCACAGAAAATTTCAGCTAGAAAATTCCCTCTCCTTAATATCGTTTTGATGTCAAACAATACAATAAAAGACTGATCACTTCTAGTGAGTTTTCAACCTCCAGGTATAGGAAGGATAAACAGACTAAAAGTAATTTTCAAAAGGTGTATAAAACCCCTTCTTCAGATCAGTGTTTTGACCCAATAAGTAGAAAAAGAGAAGATTTCAAGAATGACTCAGTAATGCCATACAAGGTATTCTGCTTGCAGGTGGTTGCAGCTGTGGTTACGTGCACTATTTTGGGTCAGTGGAGGACATTGTGTCTAAAGCTACAGCATTAATTGTGGATCCGCACAAACAGCAAATTATTTGAGGACAGATTTATTCTGATAAGGAACAGCGAGAACCTAGAGTACACACTGTGGTGCAATTGATATGATTTCTGTTGGGTTGCACTGTGTCTTTCTCTTTTGGCCTTACAGTAGAAGAGTACTTGGAAGGGAGTGGATCTTTAATTTTTGTTTCTTTTTAAAATTTTCTTATTGGTCTGTTGGAACAAAAAAAAAAAAAGAAAACTTCATTACATCATCCTGTTTTTCCTCCCAGAGTATGTAAGGACTCAAAATATTTTTTTATTGTTTCTGAGGGCAGTTTGTAGAGGAAAAATACCATGTATTAGGGAAAGAATGTGTTTGCTGAATTACTTTAATCCCATTGAGAACTTCTGTAAGCATGTGGATCTGACTAGACAGAAATTCTCTTGCATGTTGTCTTCTCTATCTTCTTCATTTTTTAGCACTGCTGAGCAGCCTGGGCACCTGTATGGTTGCAGCATCCAAAAGCTTGCAACAACCCCTCTCAGTCCTGTCTTTAAATTCTGTGGGTAAAATGCCACTTTTTCAGTGTGACTGTTCTGCTTCACTGTCCCTGAATAGGAATGTCCCATTACACAGCAGTGTTTTAACGTTAACTTTGAAAATTACTAATGTTCTTGTAATAATAAAAACCTTAGCTGTGTTATCTGGAGATATCTTCTTGCAAGTTACATATCTTTCTTTTGAATAAGAAGGGCTTGAGAGGGGAATTCAGCTGCTACTCTTGCTGCTTGTAACCAAACACACTTTCATCCAGCTTTGCATGATGATATAAAGAAATGTAAATGTTGGTTAATTGAAAAAGTGGTCTTGCTTTTGGTATGTTCCAGTTATGTCTTATTTTTTTAGCATCTTTGATTATGTGTGGGAAGGTTGGAGGAGGGAATGGAAATGTTGTGGATTGTGAATTAAATATATCAGTGTTTAGTGTAAGAAAACACACTTATGTCTCAAGAAGAACATGAAGGCTAGTTCAGCTAGGCAGGGTGGGCAGGAGAGGGGGAAAGTATATGTATTTTAAATACGGATACAGAAGTTGAAGCAAGTAATGCACCCTAGACTTTAATAATAACCCTTGAAACCGAAGCTTATTTTTCTAAGGCTAAAGGCTTTACCAAGGAAGGAAGACTGCAGTAACATGAACCATATTAGCTTTCTGTTTCTGGGAGGCTAATGAATCAAATAGAACTACATAAAACTATAGAATAATCTCTCATTGCATTGTTCTGAGAATGGTCTATTTGTGTATCTTTTGTAAGCTGATACACAGTAATGTTAATTCCAAGGCAAAATTTCCTGAAAAGAAGTACTAAATTTAAAGCAGAGTAATAAAACCTCCCTGTAAAGTTTTACATTACACTTCAGAAATGTGAAATTGGATCAGGCTATATTCCTGCTACACAGAGGCAGCAACCACACTGAGAGCGCTCTGTCTGTTCTGCTTGCTGTAATGTAAAATGTTCCTTATCTAACAGTCAGCATGAAAGGATGAGCTTCCACTCAAATGTTAGAATCTCCTAAATACTTGCCACCACATTTTTCCCATTCCACAAAAAAGATTTAAATGTGTTTGCTTGGCAGCAAGCTGGGTTGGACAGTAGGAGCAGTACAGTGGCTTTAGCTGGGATGGATCCATAGGTTTTGCAGATTTCTTGCACATAATCAGGCTCTACAGCTTTTATAAAGAAAAGCAAAATTCTTATAACCTGAATACCTCCTTTTTTGCTAACACAGTTAAAATTTATGCCTTTTTCTCACTGAAACAAGATATATGGAACAAAAACTCTAGCTCCATTTTCAGTTTTGAAATTTGAATGCTGCTCAGTTTTCTACTGAAACAATAACTTCCTTTGAGTACTTGGAGCTTAGAAAAAGTATTTGAATAAGATTTATTAAAAAAAAGTGTGTGCAGCCCTAATCATATAATAGGCCTGAAAACAAGGATTTAAGAAATAAGATTGTCAGGTTTTTATTTTCTCTTTCATACTTCAGTCAAAAGCACAGTGCCTGTTCTACAACAGGAAGTGTTTCAGAGATTAAATTTCTCTTAATACAAGGGTTGTTTGGTTTCAGGTTTTTTTCTCTGAAAAATCTAGATGCTGAGATAAAAGTAATATGGTGGAAACACCCAGATGGGATTGCTGGAAATGCAGGGAGGATTGAGTTTTGGATGAGAGAGAACTAGGAATTGGGTTAAGCTTCAATAGAAAGTGTAGTCACGTTGTTTGAAGTGCCAGCTACCTCTGTTGGAACATTGTGAACGTTGCTGGCCTAGGAAGTAGCCTAATTCTGAAGCTTACTGAGCACTCACCAGAACTTACTCTGCCTGGAAGAGATCCTGAACACGCTTAGATCTTGCCACAAAATAGGATAGAAATCTGAAGGGGTGGTAGCTTTGTTTTGTCTCCTTTTTTAACCACATGTAGGAGGAGAATGGGTAACAGTATGTACAGACAGAAAACAAATCAGCCAAATGGGACCTAATTCTACTTGTTTTATAGGCAAAGTTTGGGACCGATACTCTGACTGATAAAAGTGATGTAGATGAAAGGCAAATCAGGCTCAGAGAGCACTTATTGTTAGACTGTTATTCTGCTAAACACGGCAGGAAAATTATTGGCTGAGAATCAAAAAAAATGTAAGCAAGTGGAATCCAGGTGGATTAGCAAATGAGGTTTGTTTTGGCATTCTGTGCACACCTTTGTCTTCATGTAACTTAAATGCATACTGTGTGTTCTGATTGGTTTGGGGGTTTTTTGGTTCCTTCTTTTTTTCCTAATAGATGCTGAAGGTGTAAATGGAAGAGAGGAGTCTGTGAACCTTAATGATGCTGATGAAGGATTTTCATCAGGAGCTTCCCTCAGCAGCCAGCCCGCTGGGACCAAACCTGTATCCTCTGTATCGCAGAAGGGCAGCTTAAGGAAAACAGCAAGTGGGCGTTCTTCTAAGGATAAAGAAACCTCTTCTGCAGCAAAATCCAATGAGAGCCCCCGAGATTCAGTAGCTCGAAAGCAGTACACGCACCAATCCACTGACCTGGCTGGAGACACAATCGAGATGACACCTACTAAGAAACACCTCAGCCTGCCTGCTGGGCAGGTGGTGCCAAAAGCCAACAGCTTGAGCCTGATCAGGACCGCCAGTGCTTCCTCCAGTAAATCATTTGACTATGTGAATGGCAGTCAGGCAGGCTCCAGTGTTGGAGCTGGTACAGAGGGTTTTTCCAGTCTGGCAGCTGGCAACACCAATCGGTTTTCAACTATCAGCCTACAGGAGGACCGACTAGGCCAAGCTGGGGAAGGTAAAGATCTCCTTTCCCCAGGAGCTCCCCTAACCAAGCAGTCTCGATCTCCAAGTTTCAATATGCAGCTGATATCCCAGGTGTAACTTTGACTCCCTTCCTTAGTACTCCTTCTTTCCCATTAATCCCCTGCAAGTTCATCCTTAGGCAAAACATGAACCATCATCCCACAGTGTTAAAATACTGACTGTCGTGATCTTGTTTGATTTGGTTTAGCTATCATACTGTATTACTGAAACAGCAATAATTCTTCCCTCACCTTCATCCTCCTTCCCCCTTGTAAACATGGTTGTGAAGCAGTATATAATGTACTGTATGCCTTTTTCCATGCCTTCCTTTCTCCTTGGGTGATGTGCAATCCATCGTAGGCTGATCAGTCCCATTTCAACACTGTGAGACTGGAGACACCGGCGGAAATGGTGAATGTGATCCCTATGAGATGATGCTTTGGCTTTGTTAAGAAATAGAAACGGGTTTGTTTTCTCGGTCTACAGTACTGCAAAGACTACTGGATCATGACTTTTCTTTCTCAGAACCAGGAGTGCCTCAGAGATTCTAGTGTGACTTTGGACCTCTCTGAGTCTGTGCAATCAATTCTGGGGAGGGGATTGTCATTGCTGCTCCTGGCTGCCTACAGCACTTTTTTCATTAAAATTAGGGTAGTTTTTTCCTGACTGCCCCCAGTCTGTCATCCCAGAAGCTTTTGATGTTCATCAACTGAGACATGCGTATTAACAAGCTGTTTTCCCTCGGAGAGAGGATTCTAAGCTGATAATGTAGGTTACAATGCACTTCTAATGGCGTTGTAGCCATTTGTAATGTTACATGTCTTCCCCTCCAGGACACAGGGTCATTCTGCATTTAGACTAAAATTTACACAACACCATGCTGTTAAAGCAATTTGGTTTGGAAGTGGGAGGGAAACACTACTTTCCCACAAAATAATGGCTATCTCTGCTCCATTTTTGTTGTTTTTGTTGTGAGGTGCTGATCACTGAATTGAAAGGTGTATTCGGGTAAAGAGTATTTCTCAGGCTGCTTTCTTTGGTATCATGGCTGTTGGGACACCCCCACCTCTTTCAGCTGCTTTCTCAATGTCCCTGAATTCAATCATGGTGTCATTTGAGGAATCCTGCAGTCCAGACAGACCATACTCTCAAGGTGCTGTCTCAGGGATAGAGACAATAGTTTGCTAGAAACACTGAAGCTTCAATGTGAAATGCTTTTCTAGCAATGCTGTTTGTGCAAAGGGGTACTGACAGTCCTTTTCTCCCCAGAAGGATCACACTTCATTGCCTTGGTATATATAATCTGTTGAGGTTTTTTAACTCTTATTTTAGTGGATTGGCCCTACTCTAGAAAATTCAGAACTCGTGCCATTGAGCCAAGCCTTGAATGTATATGACTGGTGTATGGGCACTGGCTGGTACTGATGTTAGAGAACACTGCTTAGAAGCACATTTCTGGTTACATGGGAGAATATTTGTCATTCTCTCTCCATCTCTCTGTATCTCTCTTTGGATTGATAGAGAGAAAAGGGGAAAGCTCATTCTCTATGCTTGAGTCATGTATCATATCCTGGAAGTTTACAAACTGTAAACCTGCAGGAAAGTTTATGTTTTTTATGTGGGCACTTTGGTTTCACTGTCACTGTGAAGGATAAACATAAGCAGTTAAAAACAGCAGGCTGTCTTTGAATGTCTTTTGGGGTTTGGGGGTTTTTTGGAGTTGTTGTTTGTTTGTTTGTTTGTTTTGGGTTTTTTTGTGGGGGTTTTTTGTGGGTTTGTTTTTTTTTCTTTTGAATCTTTGTTTCAAATAGAACTTTTTTTTCAAATTTGCATTTTCATTTAAATATTCGAAGATGTTTTTATGGTTTGATGAGTCACTTTGTAAGCCTGGTCTTCATATAATACATTTATAAAGTGAATTAAATGGCATCTGGACTGAATCAGAAATTCAGTTAAAGAGTAAATAGACTCATCAGAAAGAAAGAAAATCTTACAGCTTCTAAATGGAAGTTAATCTTTAAGGACACTAGTCACACACAGATGGAACTAAGGCAAAGTGAGATTAAACTGCAAGGCTTATGTTTCTGTAAAAATGTCAAAAGCTGTATATGGTTAAACTCTTCTTTATAAAATAAAGTTTTGATAGTGGGGACAATTTGTAAGTCGTGGCTGAAAGTACAAAGTTTATACTTCGTGGAGACCACCAAAAAGGAAATTTGCTTAAATCTTTTGGAAAGAAAAGGTCAATAGCATCAGCTAATTTTCTAAGAGTTACTTAATTTTAGTATTTTGAAAAGTAGAGCTGTTCATTAGGAAGGTTTCTCTGCTGTCTACTGTTTGCATTGTAAGCATTCCTCCAGAAGTTTTAGGACGCTTAAATTGGCATCAGATCAAATTTTACAATCTTTTTTTAAAAAATATTCTTTTGTGTGGGGTCCCACACTATAAAACTATTTCAGGAAAGTGAGACAGCTTTAGTGACTTTAGATTGGGAAGTCAGTTTGAATTGGCTAAAACTTACGTCAGACTATCTTTCAAGATATTTTTACAGTTCTCATTTTGATGTGCCTTTTGTTATGGTTTCATTCATTCTATTTTGGTTTGTTCTTGTGTATATATACCTATTCCATATCAATCTTTTTAAAATGAGTTCAAGTTTATCCCTGGAAAAAAAATAATTTTTGCTATGGGCTGATGTGGTACATCTATAACTTCTCAGAATTACCCTTTTAGTGCAGTTGTTGGAGCTTGTTTTGTTGTTTTTCAGCCAAGTACTGTTTAATATTTATCTTACAAATTGAGTCATCACTAATATCCACAAACCAGCTGTAGTAACAGGCTTTGCAGTGCTGTGTATCACATTTATCATTAATGCTTCTAAATGTGGCTCAAACTATGCTAAGGTGTGTCAAGACTGTAGAAAAAATTCACTCACTTAAGTTCAGTACACTTCAAAGTACTGTTGCAGAAATAAAATTAGAAGTGTCTGGTATATGGGTGGAGGGAATAATCTGCTGGCTTTCTGATTACATATGTTAAATACTAAACAACGTGCAAAACATACTTAAATTTTCTGACACCTGTGACAAATGTTTAGACTTAAATCAAACTTCATCCTAAATTCACTCTGCTGTGTCTTCTTTTAGAACATTTGGTACTTGACATGAGGCACTAGGTTTAGATTTTTGCAATATTTCAGTGCAACTGCAGCATTATAAAAGAAGGACAAGAAGCAGAACACTGATTTTTAAAAATTTCCCCCCCCTCTATATGTGTGCATGCATGCACATACATATAATTCTTAGGTGAGGAAGTGTGGATACTGTTTTCTGATGTGTATATATACACTTAAGTAGGAAAAAATTAAATATTCTTTGATACACATCACAATATACTGCCATTTTGCAACTCATTTTTGTTGGCTTTAGTAATTTTAAGAAAATACAGAATATTGGTATTGTGAACTCCAGCTTGATTATCCTTTTCAGGTGTTATTGTGAGCAGCTTTTTGTTTGAAAGATGAACCGTTCTTTTATCCTGCAGACAGCAAAGTGATGAAGTAAAAATACCTATTAAAATGAACGTTGCAAGATGACAGTTTAAATTGCTTTCAATTGCTAAATAGTTTTCAATTGGAAACTTCAATATCACTCTCCATTTTAAATGCAGATTTCTTTGAACACGCTTTCTGATGTGAATTTGGAGAAGCTTTTTGACAGCATACTTCATTCTGAAATGCTGAACATCATGTTGCATCCACTAGGCATTAGATCTAGTATTTGTAGTTCACAATACAACTATTTGTGTTGGTCTTAAATACAGCATTTCCAGCGTACTCCTGCTAGCTTTAACATATCTACAGTCATCAAAATAGTGAGAAAAAAATGTTTTCTGACGAAGTATTTATTTGCACTATTTATGAATACTGGAGTTTACTGGGACAGGGTTTTTTCTCACCATGTGAGGTTTACTTGTGTGTGAGTAGGTACATACATTTGTCACGTGTTGACAATCAATTGCCTCAACTGTGTGTATACTGTATGTAAATAGGAACATATTTTTCAAGATTAAGGGGGAAACCTGCATCTTAGTGGTGGTAAAGCTACTCTGTAGTAGGGTGACCCCAACTCTAACCGCTTTTTGTCTTCAGATACTATGTGGTTTGTTTTACTTCTTGAATGAAGATTATTAGTGTTCTGGGAAAATTTTAGCTCCAGGGAAATTTTCCTCAATATTTAATGTACAACATGTTCAGAGAATTATATTTTGAAAAATTAATTTTGGAATAGATAATCCTATGCTATGGCTGTATTTTAACCTAAGAGTTTGAACTTGTCCTATTTTATCATGAACCAATGACTATCTTTCTTAAGTGTTGAGCATTTTAACTTCAGTCACAAACCAGAAATTGTTGTTTATCTTGGCTTACAAATTTAAATTAATTTGAAGACTAAGAGAGAATCAAGAATAACTTTTTGAAGAAAATCATAGAAACCAAGCTGTACAGTGTAGGTGCTGTGCTCATAATCCTGGAGGAGGTATGGAAAATATAATGGAATATGTTTGAATTAAATGTATGTACTACACACAAAACCAATACTTCTAATATTAGTAGATCTAATAATATCATCCTTAAATTCTAAAATTCTCTCATTGCCAAAGATAATGCTACCTTGGCATGTTTAATATAGCATTAAAGCCACTAGCTAGGTCTCATTTATGACAACCACTTTTGATGTCCATCAGAAGAGTACACATGACCCTTTTATTTCAATTTCTTGTTTAGGATAATTGCAGGGCTAAAATTGCAAAGTACCACTCCTTTTCAAGCATGGTAAGCAAAGAAGCCAGATCCTCTATACTTGCATTGCATTCTTGATTTATATAAATTTTTTCAATATTTTATATTCTTTTCAGTATTTTGAATGCGTTTTGTTTCTAGCATATGGGCCTTAATCTCTCTTGATTATTTTTTAGAGTTTTTCCCCCCCTGGCACTTGGATAAACTGGCTGTGGAAAGCTTTTCTGTAGGTGATTCAGGGTAACAGATCATGACATGGGTGTTGTGTTAGTGAATAAATGTATCAGTCTGTCAAAATTCGCAGGTCTTCAACAATTGAAGAGCCAAAGTACTTGCTCCTTCCACAGTGATAGAAGATGATGGTGAGCTGTGAGCAACATGGCTTGTTCCTGAAAACAGCAGTAAGTGGATTTTGCAAGACTGATACGTATGAGGTTTTCCACATAGTCATTATGAAATTATATGTAAAATAAATCTCGGAACCAGATTTTTTAAAATGTAACAGCCATTTCAGATAAACCTGCCTAGTAAGTTTGTCAGGTGTCAAGGCCTGTGAAGTTTAGAAGCAAGCTGAAGAAGTCTGAGTACCTTACAACTTCAAGAAAAGGATTTAGTAAAAATCTGTCCCATGTTATTTTTCTGTATTCAAGATTTAATGAAAAAAACAATTGTTTCCATTCTTTTATTTATTTTTCTCTAGGCTACACCTCTCCCTGATTTTTTTTTAACTGTGTTCATCAGATTTTACCAAAGGTAGTATCTGAGGAACCAAATGAATTTAAAATGGGTCCATAAATTATCCCTTCTATCATAAAGGATTAGTAAGCTATTCCTGCAAGGAGCTACTGATGGGAACAGATGTATATTAAAACCTTGTACAGTAAAACGTTGCCCTACATTTTAGCTTGTGCATGATGAGCAAAGTGGTGAGATCAGGTTTTATTGACCACTTACTTGGTTGTGAGCTCCTAGTGTTTTACAGTTGGTGAGATGTAAGCAGTTTTAGAGAAAACTGTCTTTGCATTCTGATACAACTTTTTTAAGCATTTTAAATTTTGACTCTTGAACAGATGATTGTTAAAATGTGGTTTAGAATTCACACAGGTTTTGATTTTAGTGGGTAAAATGGTCAGGGAAGATTTCTGTTTATGAGTATCTCCTGGTAAAGTGTCTCTATGGTGCTTTGTCATGGAAACTTCCTTACAAATCAGTAGTGAATCCTGTGTGTTTGAGTCCTCATCCTCCCCAGAACTGATCACAAACAGAAAAAAACTGTGTGTGTGAAGCAACCTTTTACCTTTTGTTCTGAAACAAGTACTTGGGAGTGACAGAAATACTGGCTATTGACACTGTTCTTTCTGTTCAGGCAGTTATTGTTGTTGTGCTAGACTTTCATGTTATTAGTTTATGAAAAATGCAAGTAGTAAAAACTTTGTGGCTTCAAGTATACAGTAGATGTGAGTTAACAATCACTCAGGATAAACCAACATGTCAAAGTATTAATAGATTCCTAGTACTGGGGTGTGTCTGTGTGTGTCAGTGTGTCAGTGTTCAATGATTACTTTGAAAAAAGACAGTTTGATTGCGTTAATAATAATAACAATGATTACTTTGTTACTGTTTTCTTGCAGATAGCGCATACTTTAGGGATGGATATTACTAGCTGGTTATTTATGGACAAATACCATATAATTAAATAAAACTGAGTCATTTAACATTTTTTTCATATCGAAGATTCCAGGAAAAAGCTAATAAAGATTTTTAATAATTAAATCAGCTACTCTTAATACATTTTAGATTTACTATGGTAGCTTTTATTTGCTATTAAAAAACCCCAACAACTTAATTGAGGTACCCCATGCTGCATTTTTTAAATTTGTAATTCCTGTACTTGACAATGAATCTTTTGATCTGTTTTTGCCCTTGTAAGAATACAGAATTTGCTGTCAGTT